TTAACTTTCAAAATAAACAGAAATGACCTTAACACAGATGCCCCCTCTTCACTGAAATTAAAACCAAACTGAAGGAAGGTAGGGAACAGGGTAGATAAAGGATCTGCTCCCAGAGGAACCCATAATCAAACTTACTATAAGTTTGGTGAGGGAAGAGGGTCTATATCAGTCCTCTTCAATGTCCCCTTCCTATGTATCACTATATGCCAGCAGCAAGCTGCACCATCTCCAAGACCACTAAGCATTTCAAGGTCTGTCAGGCTATAGGTAGTGTCTCTATCCCCCTGAGGCACACAGACAGTTACAGACCTAAGTACAAATCCCAGGGGAAGAGTATGGCCAATTCCTGCAACTGAACAGAGGCCTGGTCTTGGGCCCATCTACAATGGACTACTCAACAGTGATCAACATTCTGGAGATTCTGCATTAAAGAAATGTACGTGGAGCTGGCTGTGCATACAAGAGAATACAGAGATACAGACAAATATACAGCAATACTATATTTTTTAAAAAGGAAATATATATTAATGCAAATACCTACTTTCTTTCTCTTATACCCCAAAGTATCAGCCATCTGGATGTTGTTCCTAAAAGGACATTTCTTAGAGTTCATAAGCAAGCAATATATCAAATTATATAAAGATCCAAAGACAATGGATGCAGAATGATAAAAGAATATATGCCCAATATAATCAGCTCTATAAAACACAAAAGCATTTGGACAATAAATTAGTTTTAACCATGAATTACCATCTCCCTTGACCACAGGGAGGCTTAAAGGATGAATCAAATCAATCAATGTTAAGTTCAATAAATCTCCTTTTGGTCTTCTGTTTGCATTACTAGGGATGGAACCCAGGACTTTGTATATGCTTAGCATGTGCTCTACCACTGAGCAATATCCTTAGCCCAACAGAACATATTTAACAAAGGAGCCTCTGAAATTTGCCTTTCACTATATGAAATTAAAAAGCCAGTCCTATCATTATTGTGTAGATTTTTACATATCACAATAACCAGTTTCAAAATGAACTGACTAGGGCCAGGGATTTAGCTCAGTGGTTTCGCTGCCTGCCGCGCAAGTGCAAGGACCCGAGTTTGATCCCCGATACCAAAAAAACAAAAAATAACAAAAAATGAACTGACCAAAATTTTCCAAAGATTACAACAAGATCTTCAAAATCTCTGCCAGACTCCAGTTTTCTAGTTTAAAATTACAGATAATCTCCCACAAGTTTGCCATTCATATTTCACCTATTACTCTTTAATAAGCCTTTTTAAGCCAGCTTTTTTTAGAAAAACATCAGTGTGCAAAAGGAGTTTCAGTATGTTATGAATGGTTCGTTTTCAATCCAAACCCACGAAACACCTCTTACTTTATGACCAATCCTAACAAAAATAGTGGCATCATGACTCAAGTAGATCCATATCTAATTTCCTCAAAGAAATTCACATCAGAAGCTGTCTTGTGTAAAATATGCAATATTATAGTCTGGAATTTTAAATCTACCATCACTATCTATACCAAAACTATTGCAAAAGCACCCAAGAAATCAACTGCATTCCAAATGTGCAGTCCCAGATGTGAAGACCAAATTGTTTAGAATATTAGTCTTCTCTGTTGAGGGATATCAGAGTTGTACTATCCAATGAATAGAATTCACTTCCTCATCAGTTTTAAGGATAATCTATAAACGGTATAGAAAGCAATGGACCTAAATCAACATTAGGTCACTAATTTATAAACCATAATCTAAAAACCGACCTTTCCATTCCCTTTCTCATATTTTGAAGACAACAAAATACACATTGGAGTCATATCATTTTCATTTAAATACCTCAGAACATCTCTGTTACAGGAGTGGCCACCTTCTCTCCCAAACCTTAAAGGGAGAAGCTGATCAGATTAATAGGTTTGGACTTATTAATAGGTTTGGTCTGCCCCTGCTTTTTCTAAATGAAGAAAACACCCCCTCTGGTGTACAGAAGTGGTAGTCTTAGGACAAAAACACATGGATAAGAAAAATGATCACTGATTTCTAAGCAAAGCCAAAAAGTATGTATCCAATGGGCCTGCATAAATTTTATGTGAAAACTTTGATTTCACCTGTCTCTTCCTCCTGTACTGCATCAAATTGAGATCAGTATATTTTTCACTATTTGGGAAAGTATAAATTAACATTTATTTTTAAATACAAGGCCAGACACCCTTTCTAGCCAATAAGGACTATTAAACCATATCAGTCATTTCAACCCACAATTAGTAGTGTTCAAGGAATTCACACCAATTTTAGTATCTGCAAAAGTAATAAAATAACAAGCAAGTTTAAATAGTATTATTTCTTTAATCAAAAGTATATCCCAAAGTCAAATGGGGAAGGTATGATGACTATCCAGATCTACTCAATAATTAGGACAAAACTTAACAGATTTACCAAAATTAATGATAAGTATTTACTCTAAAATTAAATATAAAACAGCACTTTTCAGAAGGCTAAAAAGACTCATTATTGTTACTTATATTCTTTTGAGTACATATTAGAATCCAGGTTTCTTGTATCCTTCCATTGACCCACTATTGCAGCACTTCTTCAACTGAACTCTAAAATGAAAACTATCCTGGTTTAATGGGATAAATCCCAATCATGTAAGGCAACAGAAACTGTAGGGTGTAGTATAAAAAGACTTCCAATATAACTGTTAAGATTTAGGAAAATTCTTCCATTTAGTGTAGACTTGGCCTTTGACCACTAACCTATATTAAGATATCATAGAAAAAGTAAATTGTTAAAAATGATTAAGTGAAATTCTTTCCCCATTTGGTATAAATTAAAGGGTGAGGGGAGGACACTAACCTCATCAGGAGAGTATCCTATGCTACCATCATCCATATGACTTATTCCAATCAAAAACAGAACACATTTTTTCTAAATTCATAACTACACTCTCAAAAGAACTACAGGTCATCCTTCAAAACTGTAACTCCAACTTATTTAATCACAGAACTTCCTATTCTAAAATGTATTCTTACATATAAATAGGTAATCCCTTTAAAAGTAGAGGAAAATAGAATCAAATATTCAACATGATATAACTTGAGAAAATTCGTTATTCTAAGATTTTTTTTTAAATTTAATTTTACTCACTTTTGTTTTCATAGTTGCCATTACGGTGTACCCCCAGCCACCCATTAACCTTGACCCATACCAACTGCATGTACTGATAATCTCAGGACATCATCATCTGTGCAAAGAAGAATACTTTTCAACTAATGATTGAAGTAGATTAGACAAAGCTATCCATGTATGTGGTTTGAGTAAAGGAAAGATCTGGGAGTCAGTACATCAAACATCTTTCCAGCTGGGCATGGTGGCATACATCTGTACATCTAGTACTCTGGGAGTCTGAGGCAGGAGAATCACAAATTTGAGCCCAGCCTGAGTAATTCAGCAACTTAATGAAACCATATAAAAATAAAAAATAGGAAAAGGGCTCAAGGTGTAACTCAAGATGTAGCTCAGGAGATGGCCCTGGGTTCAATCCCCAGTACCAAAAAGACATAATCTTTCTTAGTCTTTCTTCTATGACTTTTCTTTTTTTACCCACAGTGTATAATTAATCTGACATTGCAAAACTTATAATCAATACTTAGTATAAATATTCTCCTCATACCTATCATTTCCAAAGCACCTTATAACTAATAGCTGCTAAGTTATAGAGTGCTTACTCTGTACCACACAGTTTGGCATGTGTTAACTCAATCTTCATAATTCTATGAAGTAGGAATTATTACTATCCTATTAAAAATGAGCAAAACTGCACCCAAAAACATGTCTAATAATTAGTAGAGTTGTCATAAGATGCATCAGTCACAATACAAAGACACCACAATCCTAATATCGGATGCTCCAAGGACCAAACTACAACAGCACCAACGCCCACCTAACCTGTTCACCTGCCTTAACAGCATCAAGATTAAATTCAAGGTGTAACTAAGAGAGATTAAAATCTACAAAGCAATGTCAAAAGCACAGCTCCCCAATTAAGCAGGAATGGTATACACAGAAAACATGAGTAGGATTTACTCCTAAGCAACTTTCACAGGCAAAATCATGAGACTGACACTCTGATATGAGAGCCTAAACAACCTCCATCCAGTCAAACTGGGAATCTCTATCACCTCCCTTACCCTCATCACTGTTTTATCTTCATGTTTTATAAATTCCTCAAGTACTCTTCTTATCCAGAAAAATATTTCTCCACAATAATCTCGCCAACTGACTGATACAAATCTATCTTCGCCAAGATGGAGTCTTCCAAAGGCCTCAGCAGCTGCTAAACAAACTCATCAAAGTTCCACATTAAGAGAACCGAGAGACCCTCAGCCTGTAATACAGAGAATTATAGCAAACTTGAGAGCCTCTCCACTCAATTCCTCAATCTGCTATGATGCATATGAACCAATTCCCCAAGATGAATGTAATTATAATGTATTATAAACACATACTAATAAAAAAAGAAATTTAAAAATAAAACACATATTGACAAGACTAGTGATCACACTAGCACAAAGGCACCTCACAGTATACAGCTTCAGCATAGGTATCCAACTGTTAGGTTTGCAATAAAACCTGTACCCCACTTTAAATACTTCTAGTCAGTTGTAATTTTTGTCTATTACACAACAAAACATGTTATCACATTTGGGGAGTCACTGTTAAAATCTTCCTACTGGAAATAGTGTGGGAATTCAGCAATCCAATCACCATTATCTTTGTACTCATGAATCTTACAAAAACAAGGGGAAAAAAGAACCAATAACTTGTATACATTACTCAGAAAAGTTCCCAGTGAAAACAACCTAACAATATTACAGACTTCTTCATGTTAATATTGCTAGGAAATACTTTTTATGTAATTTATGGTTGACTAATTCAACAGTTTCATGCCATCTAAGAACAAGGAACATAAACTCTAAAACATAAACAAAAATAAAATACCTCAAGTTCCACGAGAGCCGCAGTTACTGCATCTGTCGCCAGAGCACCAGCCTGTAACTTCTCAATTGCCTACAGAGCCAAAGGGAGAAAGTATTCATTGTAAAAAAATCACAACTTCTCAAACATACTCATAAACTTTCCAAAGCCTTAAAAAACTGTAGATGTTTGAGTTAGTAAAAACTGATTACTAAATCTATTCCACAGTTCAAGATATAAGTTATTCAGATTTTTTTTGTAATTTTATTTTTTTTCATTAAGCTTATTAGTACATCTTAGGTATACAATACAGTTACATTCATCATTGGGATCTCGTACCTTTACATGACGTATCTTGGTTCTTATTTTTTCCTCATTCCCATTTCCTCCCTTCACCTCCTCCACCCTTTCCTATTTACAAAGACTTTGTTTCCATTTTTTCCTTTTCTCATGTTTTCTTTTCCCTTCTTTCCTTTCTCCTACCCCTCCCACTTCCCCTACTCATTTAGACCTTTTCTTCCTATTTCACATAAGCTATTCAAATTTAAAACAAGTAGTATTTACATTAATTTATGATATCGTTCACTTAATATTATCTAAATCAAAACAATAAATAAAATCTAACCACTAAATGGAACGTGCTTAGGAACTTAGTAAAAGGGCTTCACTACTCACAACACAATTCAAAATAGCCACAGAAATTGTACGTATTCAGTTTGGATAAAATATCTTGACAATTCATATTCTATATAGATAACTGAATCTTAGGCTAAGTTAATAATTTCACCACCCTTACTACTCTCCTCACCTACACCTACAAAAAAAGGGTCTCAAGTCACAGACACACATCAGATGGAAACATATATTTTATTTGACAAAAATATTTTTGATTTATATCAAAATAAATCATGCTTTTTTGTAATATAAACTGCAGAGAATAAAAGTCTATAAAAATCACCTTGCTTTGTCATAAACTAAGAAAGAAAAGGAAAACTGATTTCTAAATGAACTACTAAAACTACAGAGAAAGCTCAAAAACTAAGAATTTTATTTTTCACTTAATTTTTAAGAAGCTACTCCCTTATATAAATTGAGGAGACTGATGATGCAGTCCAAATGTATTAGATTTCTATGATTACGGTTGCATAAAAGTAAAACATTTCTTTTCATGCCTTGCAAGCACAAGGTCCCGAGTTCAATCCCCAGTACCAAAAAAAAAAATTTCTTTTCAGATTATGAAAAGATTTTATACTTTGAAAAACTAAAAAAATGTAAAACAGCTTTGAGAACTTTTAGCTTTATTATTATGAAAAAATCCCTATAACAAAATATTCTTATATATTGATGGGATCCCATTCATAACAAAAAGCCTGAGTCTATAGTAAAGTATAACCTTTCTTTTAAGTGGTATGCTTCTATAAATGAAAAAGCAGAGAGACCCATATTTAATTGATATGCAGCACACAATTAACATTTTATTTGCATAAAAAGTAATGGAAAGTGCCTATAAGCATATATAGTCAGGATCAAAATAAAAAACCATATTTCTTTTGAGTCCATCCTGCCCGCACATTAAGTATTCAACAATTTAGCAAAACCTCAAAAGCCAAAGGGGAATAAAAAGCACAGCTGAGCACAAGGGCAAAGCTAAACTCAAGAATGACAGTAAATTTGCTATAATACAAAAAGCATGATGAAAGCAGAAGGATAAAGTCCAACACAGTCTAAGAAAAGCACACATTTTAATTATTTTATGGTTTTTCTTCTCTTCACGAAAAGACCCTAACTTATTTAAGCAGTTTTTCCCAATGCTAGAGTTCAATGCCTTTGCAAAGATATGCTCAATATTCCAAAAATACCAACTTTAATATGGAGATGGTAAGAACTAAGCATCATTTAGAGAATTAAAAATGTAACACAGCAAAACAATCCTCAACCAACATGAGCAAAATAGTTTTGTGTTCTATAAATGGACTGTTCTACAAATGGAACCTTAAAATTTTGAATTTCAAAGTAAAGGTGCTTACTGTTGAAAACTGAAACATTTATATCATACGCATTCTGTTCATACCTTCTGACAAGCTCGTTTGCATACATGTTTATATTCCTTAGCTTTGGACTCAGAATGATAACCTGCACCTGTAATAGAAAAAAATCAAATGTTAGTCATCATCAAATTATAAGTAATCCATGCAAACAGAACTGGTCCCCATGAAAACAAAACTATTGCCCTAGCTATATAGACTTTAAAAATATCATAGCTTCTTTCTCTGCCACAAGACTTTCTAATACCATCCCTTATCTCCTGTTCAAAAACACTTTTCCTGCAAACAACCCTAAAAATAGCTCATGTCCCCAAAGAAGTTTCACCAAGTTCACTTTCCCTCCTCCTCTCAAGAACTTCTCTCCAAAGACTGGAGTTCTTTTGGTCTGGAGCTGATAATCCAAGAAGATAACAAGAACAGAGTCCCTTCAAATTCCTCTCTGTTCAACATTAGCAAGCCCCTCCATCTGGGAAATTTCTATTCAGAATCCAGAATTCTGAAAAGTTGTCCTTTTGTGAAGAAGATTTGCTTCTATGAAGGACATCTATATTACCAAAGGAAGGGGGCTTGCCCTGAAGCCCCTTTATCTGCTTATCTGTATCTAGGACAGATCATATCAAAATTTCCCTGCCCAGAGATTGCCATAGAAGGTCATATATTCCAATGACAGTTAACTGGGACACTTTATGTGTATAATAAAACACATTTATTCACGGTACATTTCTACACACACACACACACACACACACACACACACACACGAACTGTCCACCTCTTCCCCCAGAGCCTCAAGTCTCTATTTCTTTCTGCAGCTCAAAAAGCTACTGATGCTTAAACCATCTGGCCCTTTGTGTCTCATAATTTGGGTATGGCTCCCTTTGTACATTAATAAATATGTTATTTTCTTTCTTCTGTTAATGTATGTATTGTCAGTTCCTATCATAGACAAGAATTGTTGAAACTGGGCCAGGGATTTAGCTCAGTGGTTCCACCACCTGCCTCGCAAGCACAAACAAAGTCCCGAGTTCAATCCCCGGTACCGGAAAAAAAAAAGAATTGTTGAAACTAAAACAGGGACATAAGAGGCTGGACCTCCACACAGCCATGGGGAAATGAAAGCTGGATAAAGCTTGGCACCTTTGCCCTCACTCTGTACCTGACTCCTGCTCAGCTCTGCATGTAGGCATCTTAATCACTTAAGGAATGTCTGTCTAAAAACAGATAAAATGACACACATGGTTATACATGCCTGGAATCCCGGCAGTTAGAGGCTGAGGCAGGAAAACTGCCATATTCAAGGCCAGCCTGGGCTACACAGTAAGACCCTGACTCACACAACAAAAAATAAATAAATAAACAAGTAAAAAAGAACTGATAATAAGATAATAAGATAATAAGATAATAAGATAATAAGATAATAATAAGATAATAAGATAATAAGAGTTAATAAACCTAAAATTTACCTACTTATTTCTTTCACTTCAAAACTGAGGATACCAAGATGAGACCAAATAGGGATTTGCAGGATTTGCAGAGACATTCAATTGCCAGTTCCTACAATATCCTGACTAGTAGTCTCCAATCATTGTCCTAAACTCCACAGTCACTTTGGAATTGAGGAAAAGCAGAGCCTTGTAGGCCATCCCATGATGAAGTCACCTCTCCCCAAACAGATGCAGTCATGTCATGGGAACTGGACTGCCTCCAGTGAAAAGGACTTCTCTGGAGCCACCTCACAGAGCCAGTCCTGAGATGATGATCCACCAGACCAGTGGTGGTGAACCTATGGCACAGGTGTTGTTTTTCTTTCAAGACAAAAAATGTTAATGTAGAAGTTGTTTTTTTCTAAACTAAAACCTCAGGATTTAGGTTTAATTGCAGTGTTGGCACTTAGTGATAAATAAACAGGTTTGGGGTTTCAGTTTGGGCACTCATCTCTAACAGGTGTGCCATCACTGCACCAGACCATGAGCTGACTAAGATCACTTACTCTGCCAGCTATGCAAACCCCCAGCTATGTCAACCCTCAACCCTTGCCTGTGTTCCTCTTTTCTACAAAATCTCTAAGTTCCTTATTAGCTTCTAGAAGACATCTTTATCTATCCTTCTCTGTGTGGCTTGCTAATTAAAGCTCCTTTCCTGCCCTTCACCACTGCTTGGTTCCTTGACTGGCATTTTGGGACAGGTGACCAAGACAAATGTTGGGATCCTGAGAGCCAGAGCTTTTGTCCTAAAACTCTAGTGACAGAACTTCACAGGAAAAAGAGAAACTTTAAAACCTACCTGCAAAGCTGAACTAGTTCCAAGATTATATAATTATACTCGAAGATGACCATATGGGATCAATAAAAAGTTTTTGGCAGCATTATTTTTAAAAATATAAACTAGAGTTTAAAACTGACTTTGGTCTTAACACTACCTAATTCATAGATATATCTATCATATAAGGTAAAATTAAATAATACAGAGGAGGGAAGTACAGATGATATAGGAAGAACTGTCATTTTAAGATCATCGAGGTAGGGAGTAGAAGAGGTCCTCACTATACTGAAACTCAACAATCTTAGGTTACAAGCCTCTCATGGCAGAAATGAAATCCAATTCTCAATGTACTTCAAGACACAAATAAGAAAAATCAACACTATTTTCATCTTCCAACTCATCCAGGGAGGTCTTACCTGCATGTACCAGCACAAAGCCCCCTCGTTTCTCTTTATGGGACTGCTTTGCTTCCAATTCTTTGGCTGTTAGCTTAACAGCTGAAGCCTGAGGTGATCTGGAAGGCAGCCCTTGCCCAGAACTCATCCCCTTCTCCATGGTCATTCTCCAAAACTATCATCTTCTACTAGGACTAGAGCATATTTCTATCCAAAAGCAACTGCAGGAGGCGTTACCCTAGAGAAAAACAGGCAAAATGGCATGATTTCTTTCCAAAAATATGTACATCACTTATAAAACTTCATGCAGATAATTTTCAAAAGATCTATTTTTGGAATTATCTAATTGAGTTAAGATAAAGAATAAAACAAGGTTAAGATTTAAATCTCTGCCCACTGACAGTACTTGCTTGAAGACAAACAAAAGAGACCTTGTACTAAGTGTAAAGATATTTTACTTTTCTTTCAGCCACACTGAAGTAATCCTCATTTCTCCTCCCTCCAAACTAAATGCTAATAATCTCTGGGACATTTTGAAATCACAAATGATTCTGGCAACATCACTGAACCTTTACTATGAATCTATGAAGCCTAGATTTCTGCTTACTCAAACACAGAAATGAAGCAACATATACACATACACATTCATACCTACATGTGAAGAACTCAGGTTGGTCAGTTTAATGCTCCACAGCTCAATTATAAAACAAAAACATTAAGAAATTACATTACTAAACCACGAAATTAAAATAACACCTGGAAATAGTTGTCAGTTTTCATGAAAAACATTATGTCTGAGGTTCTCTACAGATAAATGAGACACAAACAATAAAACAATTTCCAAGCAACTTAATCCACAATTTTCTTCACTATCCATTACCAACTCATAAACTTACAAAAATAGAATGTATTTTAGATTAAGTAAAACTGAATCAATTAAAAATTAAGGAGATTTAAAGAAACTCTTACAGTGAAATGATCAAGACTACTTATCATTCTGGGAGGTTGAGGCAGGAGGATCTAAAGTTCAAGCCCAGTCTAGACCACTTAGTGAAACCCTGTTTCAAAATTTAAATAAATAAATAAATGGCTGGGGATCTAGCTAAGAATAAGGACCCCTGTGTTCAATCCTTAGTACTGAAGGGAAAAAAAAAAAACCTACTTAAATGCTCAGATCAGACTGTTAAGTAAAAAGCTGCACTTTAGCTAGGCATGGTGGCCCATGCCTATAGTCCAGCACTTGAAAGGCTGAGCCAGGATGATCACTGTGAGTTCAAGGTCAGCCTGGGCTACATAGGGAGACTCTGTCACAAAAAACCAACCAAACAAACAAAAGCTGTACTTTACATTATAATGAAAAGAGGAAGGGGAAGGAGAACAATATAAAATAAAAGATAAACAGCAACATAAACAAGTGACTTAGCTGCCTAGTCTGAAAAAAAGCAGCAGCCACTCCAAGAATGGTCTGCATTCTAGTGTTTGCTACCAGTGCACAACAAATTGTTGTTTTATTAATATACTAATTGTTTTATATGTATCTTTTCAATAAGCTATATATTCAGTTTTCACAATCCTCTTCTATTTCTTGGTGTTAGAATTATATATTTGAAACAACTGAATCTGCTAAATCGAACAAAAATTTGGGCTTTTGTTTGTTATTGTTCACATTTTATATTTCAGTTTGTTTAGTTTTTGCATGTTATACAAACATTGGCTCACTATGAATTGAAAAGAAAAAATTTTAAGTTCCTTAAAACTAGAGATAGTGAGGGCCAGGGATTTTGCTCAGTGGCACTGTGCCTGACTCAAAAGTGCAAGGTCCTGAGTTCAATCCCTAGTACCGGCAAAAAAGAAGTTCAAAGAAAACTAGAGATACTGTGAGAACCACTACAAGGTATTAATCCTTTTCTTAATTCTTGGTTAAAGAGTCCATTTAAATCCAAGCATGGTGGCTCAGGCCTGTATTCTAGGCCTCTACAGGCAAAAGGATAGCAAATTTGAAGTGAGCCTGGACTACATAGCAAGATCCTATCTCAAAACAAAACAGTACAAAAAAACAAAAAACAAAACAAAACAGAAGAATCTATTTAAAGGATGTGAGTATAATTCAGAGAACAGCACTTGCCTAGTATATCCAAGGCCCTGGGTTCAATTACAAACACTTCAAAAAATAAGTTAAAAAAGAGTCTAGTTTTTATTTTATTTAATTTATATAATTTATTTTTATTTTCTTTTATTTCATTTAATTTATAGGATAAGTAGCTTAAAATATTTACATATATTCGCAAGTAAAGGAAAATAATTTACTTCAAAAGTGCTGATTTTAATTAAATAACAGTAAATTAAAATATTTGCTTTTGTTTTTGTTTTATGGTGGTAGTCATCTTCCTAACAATATTTTTCTCCCAGTGGCTTCACAAAAGTCTGCTTCAATTACCTTTAATTTTTACATTATTTTTCAAAATATTTCCCTGAGATAGGCTACAATGTATTCACATATCAGATGACAAAGTGGAATTTAACGGTCTACCTGCCAGCCTTATAAATGCTATCAGGTCTGTCCAGGCCAAGAACTGAGCTTGGGCCCAACAGGCTAAGAAGTCAAACTGAGTTAAAACTATGGCTTTGCAAGAGAGCTTCTGTTAAAATATCAAAGTAGTATGGATATGATTAAACCTCAAGCTACTCTTACTGTCATCTGATGTGTTCTTTCATAAGTAACACATCATAACATTTATATTTTATAAGGAAATAATAAATAGCATCTACAATTTGTAAACAGGTTAAGTATAACAGGCATTTAAATGTATATGAGAGATTTAGGAATATTACTTCTCAAATTTACCTAAGAACAAAATGTGGAAGATGAATTAATATGCAATTTCTTGAGCAATTTACCCTCCCTTAGAGACTATCTGAAATACAGTTATTCAGTAAACCATACTGTCTCAAAAAAAAACCCTTCAAAAATGCTATCCCCAGCGTTCTGCGGGACTGGGGAAGCAATTTATATAGATGGACTATCCAACATACAATTCTGGCATCTGACTCCCAATGGTTACAGAAATGTTTTTCCATTCAATTAGAAATGAAGCAACTTCTACTTCAACATCAGTTTTTGTTTAACTCAGAACTTATTAAAGGTCAGACTTACCTAACAAATAAAAGCTTCAAAAAAATGACAAAAAGATTTAAAAGGGCAAATGGACAAATCTGAGTTTATAGAAAAAATTATATAATGGTTTAAAGTGATAAAAGATGTTAAATACAATATAAAACTACTTTCGAATATTATTTTCTAACTTATACGGGCAACATGAAAATGTAAAACAAGTTTTGAGGATACAGAAAAACAATAACATTCATAAATTGCTAGTGGTAACATGAATTGGTAAAATTCAACAAGGACAATTTGGCAAAATCAATCAAAATTAAAATATGGACCAATAGTATGTCTTAATGGGAGTGGTTAAAAGCACTGGAAAAATGAGGAAAGTCTTGATATGAAATGTCTATTATACCTAGCCTTATTATAAATTATAGATGTTGATTATTTTCTTATGCATTATAAAATATATTTTGAATGGTAAAATCAATAAATATGAAAATTAAATACAGCCCAAATGAAAATATGGTCCAATAATATTTCTTAATGGAAATAGTTAAAATAAAAGCAGCCACTGGAAAGAATGAGGAAGCTCTCCATACATAGATATGAAAGGTGCTAGGCATAGCAGCACATGCCGGAAATCCCAGCACACAGGAGCATTGTCGTGAGTCCAAGACCAGCATGGGCTACATAGTGAGTTCAAGGCCAGGCTGGTCTACACTGCAAGACCCTATCTCAAAACAAAACAAAAAAGATACGAAAGTTAAATAAAAATAAAAAGGCACGGCAATAACTCAAATTAAATTATTTTTAAAAGGCATGGTACAGACATATATACAGTTCTATATAACTAAATATATATGCAAAGTATAAATCTGGATGGACACATCAAAAGATAATTTGAATGACCAATTGTCATGGGTGAGATGGAAACTTTACTATTCACCCTTTTGTACATTTTTAATTTGAACTATCTGAATGTATTACTTTCAAAAAATATTTTATGAAAACACTATGACTATGTGTTAAGGGTCCCATTCCCATTCCTTCCTTTTTATCAGTACATGTTTGCAGTATATAATGTTTACATTCCTTGTGTGGAGTTGGTACATGCACATAACACATCTCAATTCCTTTTTTTAATCCCTTATCCCTTTCTTCCATCCATCTCTTGAGCCCCTTCCTCATATAGAATGGCTGATCTCCCTTAATGGCCTTCTCTTAATTTCTCCTTGCAACCTTTGATTTTCTACATCTCCAACTCTCCTGGGTAAATGGTAAATCCTCTTCTCTCCTCTTTTCTTCTCTTCTTTCTCTTTCCTTCTTTCTTTGACAGCATCTCACTATTTTGCAGCTTGGCCTCTAACTGCTATGTAGCCCAAACCGGCCTTATCCTCCTGCCTCAGCCTCCCAGAGTATTTGCACCACCAAGATAGGCTTGATTCCTTTTTATTTTCTGTCTTAAGTTCTAGCCACAAATTTACTGGATAGGCTAAACTGGATCTTCCTCATGTCTTAGTCAATCTAAACAACCTCATTTTCCCTCAAAAATGTATGACTTGGGCCGGGTATTTAGCTCAGTGGTTCCGCCACCTGCCTTGCAAGCACAAGGTCCCGAATTCGATCCCTAGTACCAAAAAAAAAAAAAGTATGACTTTCCACATTACTTATTTTTCTTAATAGTAATATCTTTTTTTAACTCTTCTTAAAATCATCTTATACTGCACCCAAGTTTTCAAATCCTACAGGTTTTTCCCTTAAGCATTTAACTTTCTTTTCCTTAATCCTGGTTTAACCCATATACCTCTTAACATATATATAAAAATGTTACAACATTTGAACTTTTCTTCCCAAATCCAAGCTATTACAGAGCAAACATCTAGAAAAGGCTGCAAAATAATCTCATAAAGGAAAATCCAATCAAAATACCAGGACAAGGGGCCAGGTATTTAGCTCAGTGATGCCATGCCTGCCTTGCAAGTGCAAGGGCCTGAGTTCGATCCTGTTCTGAGAAAAATAAAATAAAATAAAAATACCATGTCAAAAGACATGAGCAGACACTATAAAAGAGGAAATACCAAGTGGATATCCAATCCTGAAGAAAGAATAGTAACTAAAATACTAACAAAAACTAAATTTTTCTAACTAGAAATGCACTGACATCATAAATTATTATAACTATTTTGAACATGAATTTGTAAGTACAGTATTAAGAGCCTTAAAATGTATAATACTGTACATATTATCTTTCCAGAGATACTCGGTATATGAACAGAAGTTACCAGTACCATGGATACTTCTAAGGCGACCTATGAGACAGGAAGAAGGATGGAAGGGAAAGTTGATCTTTTAATAATCACATTAATATTATTATGTATTACTCATACTACGTACTAAAAACATTATTTAAGATGTTCATCTCTGAGACCAAGATAAATGTTATTAATTTCATCATCAAGGCCAGGAGGAAAACTCAGAATAAAAACATTTTTATTTCAGGGAACTTCCTGGTACTAATTAAAGTCTAAATCTTGACTTCATGTTTCTAAAAGGTTTTTTATTTTCCTATTTCATGTGATACTTTTGTTTTCTTTAAACCTTTTAGAAAACTAACACATGTCCTATTAGCACATGTTGAGATTTCTGCAATCTAATTTTGTTTAGTCTTTAAGAAGCAGCTGAAGAAGAAAGTCATGGAGTTGACCCATATTTTTTTTTCCCTCTCAGTACCGTGGATCAAACTCAGGACCTTGCACTTGCCAGGCAGGTGCAGGGCCACTGAGCTACATCCCTGGCCCTCTGATTCATCTTATAGCAAAAGGCTTTTAAGAAATCCAGCCTGTTTGCAGGGCATGGTGGCACACACTTGTAATCCCCCCCTCTCTCTCACTCAGGAGGCTGATAGAGGGGGACTGAATTGCCAGAGTTCAAGGCCATCCTGAACTACAAAGTGAGACTCTGTTGCAAAAAAAAAAAAAAGAGAGAGAAATCCAACCTTTGCTTTTAGTATCATTACATCAAAGGTTCGATGCCTCTTTAAATGAACTCCAAACCATAATTCATCTTTGAATTTCACTTGTGAGATTTTCTACCAAAATTTTAAATTCAAAAAAGGTTTATGCCTTTTTTGCTATATTTAACAAAAGTTATTATAGAATTTTGGGGGAGGGAAGCACCAAAAAGTTCAACACACAGAAATAGTTAAAATAGTAACTCACATTTATGGTCAATTGTCTTCTCTCAGTACTGAAGACTGAACACAGGGCCTTCACACTGAGCTACATTCCCCAGCTTGCCACGCCTGCCCCTTTATGAGACAGGGTCTCACTGTCACCATGTCACTAAATTGCCTGGGCTGGGCCAAACTTCTGATCCTCCTACTCAGCTTCCCAGAGTGCTGAGATCACAGGTATGTGCCACCATGCCCAGATGGTCAATCAATTTTCAACAAGGAAGCGACATCATTCAATGGAGGAAGGACAGTCTTCTCAACAAATAGTGTTGGGAAAATTACACATCCACAGGCAAAAGAATGAAGCTGGACTCCTACCTCATACTATTTACCAAAAAATAACTTCAAACAAATCAAAACTCTAAACATGAGTTAAAATTATAAAATTTGGCTGGGAGTGGTGCCACATGTCTATAATCCCAGCACTGTGCCATAAGTTCAAGCCCAGCCTGAAGGACATCGTGTGACTGTGTCTCAAAACAAAAAATAAAAAAGGCTAGAGATGTAGTACCTCAGGAAGAAAACCCTAGGTTCAATTTTCAATACTACCAAAGGAAAAAAAAAAGAAAAGAAAACACAATAGTAAAAAAGGTAGCCATCTGGATTTAGCAATGATCTCTTAAAAAACATCAAAAACACAAGCAACCAAAGAGGAAAAAAAATAATTAGAATTCATCAAAATTTTAAACTTTGTACATCAAAGGATATCATTTGAAAAAAGGAAAGCATAATGCACAAAACGGGAGAAAATACTGCGAATCATATTTCATAAGAACTTGGTACAGAAAATACAGAACGAACTCCTACTTTAAAACAAGATGACTAAACTTAAAAATGGGCAAAGGAATTAAATAGACATCTAGATATACAAAAGGCCAATAAGCACATGAAAAAATGCTCAAGATTACTAGCCATCAGGGAAATGAAAACCAAAACTACAATGAGCTACCATTTCACAAATACTAAGATGGCTTTGTGAAATTAAAAAGACAAATAAATGGAGAACCAGAACCCTGATAACCTGCTGGTGGAACCATAAGATGGTGCAGCCACTTTGAAAATATCTGGCAATTCCTTAAAAAATTCAACATAACAGTCACCATACTGCCCACTAATTCCACTTCCAAGGTGTAATACCAAAGAGAACTAAAAACATATATCCACATAAAAACTTGTACAAAGATGTTTATAGAATTATTCAAAATTGCCAAGTGGAAACAACCCAAATACTGCATCTATCAACTGATGAAGGATAAATAAAAGGTAATACATTGGCACATTACTTATCCATAAAAAGGAATGGAGCTCAGGGCATGAATATGAACAAAGTACATTACAAAAATTGAAATCCTCCAAAAATGTGTGAAACAGGGGTGGGAGGATGATTAATGTTATGTACATGCATGTACAAATCTGCCAAAATACAATCTGTATAACCAATACGCACTAACTAAAAATGTTTTAAAAAGTGGAAATAAACAAAAGTGGTCATACAAAACATCCTTCAGTAAAGCATAAAAAATAAAATAAAGAAAAGACCAGCCTAGCGGTTGAGTGAGACATCCTAGGTGGGTTCTATCCCCAGCATAGCAGAAATTTCAAAAGGGAAATAAAAAGAATTAAGATGTTTTATATTCATGTATCAACTTCTCACAATGAAGGTAGCACTTATGCACAAAAAAAAAAAAAAAAAAAGTACTAATAAAGTCACCACCAATGGCTCTTTAGAACATTATGTTAACTAAAAGAAGCCAGACACAAAAGGATACCTTGTGTTTTCTTTAAACGACTTATGGCACATTCATGACACTTTCTTTCTTTAAACCATTTAGAAAACTATCATGTGTCCTACTACATGATTCCATTAACTTGAAATGTACAGAAGAGGAAAATCCAGAAACACAAAGTAGTTGCAAGGTGAGGGATGGGGGAGACATTCTAATGGAAAGTAACTTAATAGATATAGGATTTCTTTTGGAAGAGATTAAAATGTTCTGAAACTAGTCAAAGGCAATGGGTGTACAAATTTCTGAATACACTAAAATAATTACTTAAATTTAGAATTCAAACTGATGAATTTTATGGCAGTGAACTATAACTCAGTAAGAAAAAGAAACAGGGCTGGGGATGTAACTCTGTGGTAAAGCACATGCCTAGCATGGGCAAGCCCTCTGGGTGGGGGGTAGTGAAATCGACAATCCATGCAATGTATACAACATACACAAACTGTGCTTTATAGTTATAACCATATTTTTACACATATACAATGATAATAAATAGGTTAATGTGCATCAAAATGCTTTGTTGGTGGGACTATAGGTGCTCATTTCTAAATATTTCTGCATTTCCAGATATTCTTTAATAACCACTGTTTTCTGAGGGGTGGGGAGGGACTTATTTATTATTAAATTCCATACATATAAGTAAAACTTCCTTAGTTTATTATTCAACGACCTCGGGCACATGGTCCCCAGTATACCTTTCCTTCCCTTCCCGTACAGAAGCAAGTCAAGTTGAACTCCCTTCTTCCGGAAATACGATGCCTCTATTTTCAGAAAACCTCCAGCTCCTGCTTATCACCCTCCTCTCCAGCTACTCCATCTACTCAGTCCTTTCCTCCTCTGCCTGAGCAATAAACCTGACGTGCTGCGGGACCCTACCCAGGCCTCTGACACAAGGGGGTGCCCTGACCCCAACCCGCCCCTCAGGGCTCGGGCGCATCCTCTCGGAACTCAGCAACCTCTCGGACTCCGAGACGCCCCCAGGCTACGACCGCAAAGTCAGTGAGGCACTGCGAGAACTCTGCAGCCACCGTCTCCGCAGGAGAGGCCCCGAGGCCGCCAAGCCAGTGGCGAGGCTGGGAAAGGGACTGGCGAGGCCCCCACGCACGACCGAGACTGGGGGCCAAGAGACGTCCTGGGCCTCCTCTTCTAGCCCAGGCCAGGGGGCGTCCCGCGCGTCGCCCCCTCCCGGTCCGGAAGAAGATGTCCTAGCGAGCCTGAGAGACCCACACAGAGACAGCGGCGCAGCAGCGGCTGTGGCGCGGACAGTGTGAGAAACAGGGACACTCACCGGCGACAGCCCAGAGCCCTCACTGCACCGGAAGAAGTCGCCCGCCGGTTGCCAGGGTGAGGAAGCGGGGGTGACGTAAACTGTTTCCATTGGCCAGTCTGGGTCACGTGGCCGGAAGTAACCGCCTACGCGCTGCTCTAATTCCGCCTTCTCCCTCAAAGCGACACACCGGGCGTCGGAGCTGCGGTTCAGACTCTGCTTGGGTCTCGGGTTTGGTTGTTTAGTTGTGCTGTGTTGTATTTTGTTTTGTTTTGTGTTTAAGCTGCGCAGGCGCCATAGGGTCTCTCATCCCTATCCTGCCGGCGAGTTCTCTTGCAGGTAGTGTATGTACCTGATCTGAGTGGTTGCCTGACCAGCGCTGAAAAGTGAAATCAAACTGGCCGTCATTCTAATTGAGGTGTTGGTTTAGATCTCATTCTCCTTCGTTGCAGCCTCCCTAAACAGTAGGGAAAACTAGAGTTCGGCCTGGATTGCTTATGAGAATTGGCAGTCAGCATAGCCTTGCGGAGAAGGAAAGTGTGAGTAGCCTTACTTTCTTTTTTTTTTTTTTTTAATAATCTTACTTTCATTATCTAGGATCTAAAACCAAGGGCCAGTATGATCTGCGTGCTCTTTCCTTGTAACCATTACTATGAATCCTTTAACAGCCAAGCACCTGTAAGCCTGTCGCGGTGGAAAGAGATTGGAAGGAATAGAGCAATGCCAGTTTATCTTAAATGTCTGAGACCAGAAATATTTCAGATTTAGGATTTTGTCCGATTTTAGAATATATGAATGTATGAGGAATCTTGGATAGGACCCAACTCTGAATACAAAATTAACTTGTTTCATATACATCGTATGCACATAGCCTCGAGCTAATGTTGTACAGTAGACTTAATAATTTTGTGCATGAAGCATATTTTCAAAATGGCATCATGTTGGTGTTCAAAAGTTTCAGATTTAGGAGCATTTCAGATTTTTAGATTAAGGATGTTCAAAGTATATTTTTCTAAGTGAGATCGGTTAGGTAAACCGTGACGACCCAGTAAAGAACACAGCCTGCTGAATTTAGTTTTGGGCAGGATTTCCTGGAGTAACTCCAAATACACAGTTATTTCTCTAACCAGTTCACTCAAAATACTACATATGAAGAAAATCTCATTGAGGAAAAAAATCTGGTTCCTCTTCTTCTTTGTACCCACCCATCCCAAACCCCAAGTGGTAACCAATTGAAAAATTGCTCCCCTAATGTCAATAACATAACATCTTCCACATCCTGGTCCTTGTGCCAGTAGGTCAGCCCCTTGAGTCATGGTTTTCTGTGAGCCTTCCTTCATTTGTTCCTGGAAAACTATTTCAGTCAGCTTCTTTATCTTCTCATCATCACTTCCTAAAAGAGTAAGGCAACTATTTCCATAGCATTTACGTGGCATTAGGTATTATGAGTTATGGAGCAATGATTTTAAGGATACAGAAGTATGTGCATAGGTTATGTGCAAATGTTATGCCTTTTTATTAAGGGAATTAAGCATCCTCAGATTTTGTCCATGGGGTGAGGGAAGTGTCCCTCAAATGCATCCCTCGCAGAGACCAAGGAATGACTGTACCTTAACACTTTGGTCATAAGTGTTGCCTGATAGTAATGTGGTATATTTGTTTTCAGTTGCTGTATAACAAGTTACTGAAAATTTAGCTGCTTAAAGCAACATGAATTTCATCTGTCACAGGTTCTGTGGCTCAAGTGTCCAGGTCTCTGCTCAGGCCTCACAGGTAGGCAACCAGGTATTTCAGGTAGGACTTCTGTCTTATCAGATGCTCAAACTCATCCAGATCATTCAGGTGGTTGGCAGAATTCAGTACCTGGTAGTTTTCTCCTTCAAGGTCAGCAAGGACAGGCCTGCCTGACCTTGCAACTTTTAAATAACCCACCTAAGTCAGGCCTCCCCAAGGGGTGTGTGTGTGTGTGTGTGTGTGTTTGTTTGTACTGAGGACTGAACTCAGGGCCTTCACACTGAGCTACATTCCTAGCCCTTTTTTATATTTATTTCTCGATGATGTCTCACTAAGCCACTAAATTGCCAGGTGAAACTCAAATTGATAATCCTTCTGCCACAGCTTCCCACACAGCACTGGGATTATAGACCTGTGCCACCATGCCTGGCATAGCCTCCCTTTTGATGAATACAGAGTCAATGATTTTCAGGAGTGATATCCATTATATTCACAATTCCTGTCCATACTCAAGTGGAGAGGTTCATGCAAGGTGTGTACACACCTGGGGTAGAAATTATCTTTCATCCTGCCATATGGATCCTACTATATGGAAACAGCAATGGCAGATAGCTATTACTTTCCCTGCCCACCAGGAAGACCTCCTTATTCTAAGGGATCTACCTCAACTGCATGTCCAGCGACCTTCCCTCACAACTTGCATCCAGCGTAGAAGGACTGTCAGCCAGGATGCTCCATGCTTGCCTTGCCAAGGGGTGGACAGGTGACTCATGTAAGCCAGAATTGCTCCTTGCCATGATTTGAACCTTGACAGGAGGTAAGAGAATAGGACGGGGTAGACTGAACAACCAATTGGGTAGGATGTATCAAAGGTAAAAAGAGATTGAGCAAGCGAGATGTTTTCTAAAAAGAGAGGACATGCACAGAACCCAGGACCCAAAATGACTCCTGAACACCATAGGCCAATCAGAAAAGTGCTATTTTCAATCCTTCATTTGAAGCTGGTGCCATTTCCAGGACCATTTTTGCAAAGGAGAAGGGGACCAAGAGGTGGAGGGAGGAAAGAGGAAGAGAAAGGAAGAGATGAAAAAAGGAATTAGGCTGTGTTATGCACAGGTACCAACTCCCCATGAGAAATGTAATCATGTCCTGCAAGCATACTAGTAAAAATTTTAAATATTAAATAAATAAATAGAAAAAAAAGATACTATTTTCAATCCTTCATTCACATGTGACAAGAAGGCAAGTGAATTTTTTAATAGGATATTTTACATCTGGTGTGACATCAAATGAGTTTTTGATAAAACAAATGTCCCAATGCCTTATTTGCATGAGAGGGAAGCCTACCTGGGAATTTCAGATATGAATGACCTTTCCCCCCTTATCCTCAGAGCCAATGTGAGCCTCTTCACCAGATCACTCTCACCCTGTAGCGTGTACTTCCTCAGAGCCAATGTGAGCCTCTTCACCAGATCACTCTCACCCTGTAGAGTGTACTTCTTTTCTGCCTTCAATAAATGTACAGCTTTATTGTCTTTTCTGTGTCTTCTCCAATTTTTTGGGACACGAAGGACCTGGAAAAAAAGTCCCTAGGACCCTAATGCAAAGAGTATAAGCAGTATTCATCCAGCCTAGCTACCATATTCTGAATTTCTACTCTAGCACTTGTCTTTTTCCAAAGCTTTCTTCTTTACTTTCTCTTTGGATTATATAAAATTCTCCCTGCCCTTCCAACAAATTCCTATCTTCTTCCATAATCTTTAAAACTTTTAGGGATGCACATGGTGACACCAACCTGTGATCCTAGCTCTGGGAGACTGAGGCAGGAGGATCACAAATTAGAACCCAGCCTGGGCAATTTAGCAGCTTACACCTTGTCTCAAAATACAAAAGCCTTAAGAAAAAAAAAAGAAAGAAAAAGGGATTGGGGATGTACCTGAGGTGTGAAGGCCCCAGGTTTAACCCCAGTACAGAAAAAAGGTAAAGAAGAACTTAGCAAGACAAATCGGAGATTGTTCAACTCCTGTCTCATGCCCTGATGACAATATATTGTCTTTGAGGCTCTGACAGAGGCTGATAAGATTAAAAGTATCCTTCCTTGGCCAGGCATTTAGCTCAGTGGCTCCACACCTACCTTTCAAGCACAAGGTCCTAAGTTTCATCCCTGGTACAAAAAAAAGAAAAAAGGTTAAAGGTATCCTACCTACCACCTGTGGGTTGGCTGGTTTGTTTGCTTTGCAGTACTAGGGATTGAACTTGAGGCCTTCACACTGAGCTACATAACAAGCCCTTTTTTAAAAAATTATTTTGAGACAAAGTCTCGCTAAGTTGCTCATGCTAAGCTCAAATTTGTGATCCTCCTGCCTTAGCCTCCCAGAGTGCTGAGATTACAGGTGTACCACCATCCCCGGTGCCATCTCTGTACTCATCCTGTTGTCTGTCTGTCTGCCAAGTATCTGGCCAGCTATGTCATCATCCTTCATTCCCAGGACAATATAAATGTGTTTCCTGAACAGTGAAATGTCTCAGTCTTTCTCTGCATTCTCATCGCTTTTATTGTAATATGTAACATGTTCCTTTTCTCATAAAAATAAGACTTTCTCATACAATGAGTCATTAATGAGACTTACTGAACCAGAACCAGTGTTCTCTTCTCAGCTGCCTTTCCCCGCACACTTTGAGTCACAATCACATCCCTGTGCCGGCCTTCCTTGGTCCCCTGCCTGCTTTATCTCAGGGAATTGCACAAAGCCCCAGTTAACTCTCTCTATAATTCTCCCCTTTATATTTGTTATCCATCATTTCTCCTGCGAGGTCAACTCCATGCAGACAAGAACTTCTTTAAAAAAAAAAAAAAAAGTTATTGATGTCGAACCATAAATACAGAAGAGTACGACTTGATGACTCTTTGTAAAGGAAATACACACACATTGTGTAACCGCTTCTTAGATCAAGTGAAAGAAGTCACAATCTTGTTCCAAGTTAATCTTGACTTTTAACAACATACATTCATTTTCTGTTTTTGAACTTTATATAAATGGAATTTTACAGTATGAACTCATGTCCATCAACATTGTGCTTTGAAATTAGTCCATATTGGATGTGTTCAGTCTCATCACCATGTATTATAATAACATTGTGTGACTATTTATACACTCCACTTTTAATGGGCATTTGGGTGTTTCCCAGTCTAGGGGTTGTTATGATTTTAATTGTGTCCCCCAATAAGATATGTTGGAGTCCTAACCCAAGGTACTTATTTCCAAATGGATGTAGGCAAGTTAAGATGAGGTCATCAGAGTGGACCTTTAATTCACGTGCCTGGTAGCTTTAGAAGAAGGAAATTTGGACACATACACAGAGAGGGGATACCGTGTGACAACAGAGGCAGGTACTGGAATGATCCAAGTGTAACCCAAAGATCTTCAGCCTCCCCCAGGAGCAAGGAAAAGAAAAGTTTTGACTCAGCCTCTCAGCTGGAACATAACCCTGCTGAAATCTTAAATTTGGACTTCTCATTGCCAGAACTATGAAAGATAAAATTCTCTTCTTTTAAACCACCATGTAGTGCTTTATGATGACATAGTGCTGCTGTGAAAATTCTAGTGCATGTCTTTTGCTGTGTCTGTGTGCACATTCTGTAATCTCATTTCTAGGGTTTGGCAGGATCAACTGAGCAGTTTTCTCATAGGCTCTCTCATGTTTGTAATTAGATGGCAGTTGGGGCTGGACTTCCCTGAAGGCTTCTTCACTCAATGTCCCTTGACTGAGCTAGATAGCTAGAATAACGGGGCTGGTTGGGCATCTCTCCCTCTCTTCCTGTATGTGACTTGGGCTTCCTCATAGCACAGAGGCCACAGTGTCATTCAACTCCTTACATGGCAGCTGACTTTCCCCAGCATGAGCATTCTAAGAGAAAGTCATTGGAAATTGCCAGTTTTCATTAATTGGTCAGAGTGACACTTGTATCACGTCTAGTCAAAGGCCAGCTTAGCTCTAAATGGATGAAAGAAGGGCCTGCCTCTTTTTTTCTTTTTTTTTTTTTTCATTTGTGGTACTGGGGATTGAACCCAGGACCTTTGCATTGAGCTACATCCTCAACGCTTTTTTAATTTTGAGACAGGGTTTCATTAAATCACCAAGTTGCTCCAGCTGTACTTGAACTTGTGGTTTTCCTGCCTCAGCCTCCCAGAGTGCTGGGATTACAGGCATGCACCACCATGCCAGCCATAGCGCCCACCTCTTGATGAGAGGAGAGGTGCATGCCTTTAGGGAGGGGGAGAATTAATGGTGGCACGCTTGGAGATAAACTGCTATACTCAGCACAAAGGTTGCCTGTGACCATGATACCCTTTGACTACGAAAGAAACAAAATGACTATTAAAAGAATGGGACTACCTTACAAAATCAAAGGGAAAACTTAGAAGACAGAGAAATTCTAGTTATATACCAAGTACTGGTACACAAGCTTTTTGAGGCACAACCACGTGATAAATCAACTTCATCTGTTTCTGGTACTCGTATCTCTCTGTTCAAGACACAAATTCCAGGATAAAAATTTTTACAGCATAAATTGATTGTGTGGGCCAGGTGTGGTGGTGCAAGGCTGTAATCTCAGTACTCTGGGAGGCTGAGACAAAAGGATTGCAAGTTTGAGCCCAACCTGGGCAATTTAGCAAGACTCTGCCTCAAAAATATTAAAAAGGGATGGGGGGAGTGGCTGGGGATTTAGCTCAGTGGTTCAGATGCCTGCCTCACAAGCACAAGGTCCCAAGTTTGATCCCCGGTACCAAAAAAAAAGGGATGGGGATGTAGCTCAGTGCAAATGCCTTGGGTTTGATCCCCAGTATCACAATCAGTCAATCAATTAGTTAGATCATGTGTTCACATCTTGTCCAAGAGAGGACAAGATTCTTGAATGTATAAGCCCACTAAAACTGCATGAACAAACACCCAATGATAAATGTAAACGAATTGTATACCTAAAATGTACAAATAAAAGAACTTAAGAAAAAAAATATATATATATATATAGTATAAAGTAAAAAGAAAAAAACTGCATGAAGTGAAATAAGGAGTTTTAGAAACTTTCTAAGAGGCTGCAAAGGCAGCAAACACTTATTGTCCAGGATGCTTTGCGGGTAACTTTGCCTTAAATAAAAGGCCTAGTCATGATTTCCCCCTTCCTGTATGTTTTCTTAATAACTGCCTATGCCACATTGTCTGTTTCTGTGAATTCAATTCTGTTTTAGCCAACTTCAAACATTGTTTGGATTTGTGTGTGTGGTGCATGGGACTAAATGTAAGGTCTTATGCCTACTAAGCAAGCACTGTACCACTGAGCTACTTTACCAGCCCTTCTTTGGAATTATTAACCTTATTATTGCATATGATTCAGATTCGTCTTCTATAATATTTACAAGAAAGAGTGCACTGTCACTGGACAGGATCTGGGGAAATCCCCAGAGAAGAGATGGGGACTTTAACTTGCCCTGCAGACTAGGTTCTTTTATTTTTTTTATTACATTTATTGCTTATTATGTATAAGAACTGTACTAGGCTAGACATAAAGTACAAGGGCTACGTGAGGCCCAGGTGGAAGAATATAGGCTTGTCCAGCAAGTCTGTAAAGGAAGGCTCCCCTCCTAATCCCAAAAGTATAATTATAGGGTCTTTGTCAACAGAGGTCCAAAGCCCAAGAGGAATATCCTTGTCATCTGGGTCCTCTACCTTCCACTACATGCAGACATCAAGGACAGAGTGTGGAAAAAGCCAACAGCCACCTTAGATGGTCACCATTATGTAGCTGTCAGTGATCTAATAAGCTAATCCAGATAGTGTCTGCTGAGTCCATGGTGATTCTGCCAAAGAGTTTTTGGGAAATTAGGGAACAAGGTAACTACCAGAATTAACCCCATTCTAGCTCACTGGATGTCAAAGAGAAATATTTTACCACAAGTATTGGTTCAAATCTGGGTGTGGTGGAGTTATGAGGGAGGCTTGTAAAATAACCTGTGCTACACTGAGAATTACAGTGAGTATGATTTCTTTGATTTTTTAAGATTTACTTTTATTAGTATATAAAGATTGTATTCATTGTGGGGATCTGGTACATGTGCATAACACATCTTAATTCTTTTTTTCATCCCCTCCCCCAGACTAGATTCTTGACTCTCTACACAGAAAAAGAAATTCAGGACGTGTTCATGAGAGGCACAGACAGACTTATTAGGTACAGTGAAAGAAGTACACACTCAGAGGAAATAGACTGCAGGTCCTTAAGAGGTAACATCCCTATGACCTGAGGTTGGAGATATGTATGCATCCTTTAGGATGGGTGATCTAAGATGTTTTGCCTAAAAACATTCTTTGAACCCTTTGAATCTTTTTCTTCATCTTATGCTTAGATTGCTGTCCTTTACCTTAGCAATTAAACTACTTATAATTATTTTTTGGATTTGTAGTGTCTTTAAAAGATTTGGGTGTGATGGGCCAGGAAGAAAAAAACAAGCCTAGAAAGAAGATATGGAGTACTGGTAAAGATTGCCTTGGGTAACTCTGTGTCATGAATTTGCAGTCTTCTTAAAAGTATAATTTATTTATTCATTTTTATTTATTTGGTTTTTGGAGACAGACCTTCTTATGTAGTTCAAGGTGGCCTTGAACTCCCTGCCATCCTTCTGCTTCAGCTTTCCAAGTGCTGGGATTAAAGGCATGGACCACTGGGTCTGGCAAAAGTATAATTTAAAACTTATGATTTTTCTTGCCTCTTTTCTACCTGCCTTTATTTCTTCTTATTTTATTTGTATATTTATAGATGCACATAACAGATTTCAGTCATTTTCCCCCATTACCCCTTTCCTCTTTCTACACCCTAGATTCACATTGGTTCCAAGGGGAGTTTCAATATGTATAGTGTATTTTGGTCATGTCCATCCCCCTCTACGTATCTTTATTTCTTCTCTCCTATCTCATACACTTGATGGTATTTGGAGAAAAATTATTTAGCTTCAATTCTAATGTTTCTCTTAAATGTAAGGTTAACGTGGATGGGAAGTAATTTATATATTAAACTAACTTTTAAAAACTTGTTATTATAGAAAACTTCAAAGATGCACAAAAGTAGAGAAGACATGATAGAACACTATATTCCAGTCACCAGTTAATTTCTACTTTATCTGGGCTTATTCCAGCTGCTCCCCTGTGCTAGCAGATGCTTCTAGTACAGGCACCACATCTTGGCTGCCTCTGGTTCGGGTCTGGCAGTCTTCTCCAACTTGCACTGTCAGCTTTCCTGTCTTTCTCACACTTCCACTGCTACAATAGTTTGCTCAACTTCCATGCCCAGACACAGGCTGGAGGTGTGAGGAAGTTAACATTGCCCCAACTGCAACCTTCACCCAAAGAAGGGTTCAAATGCTACACTGTTCTTTATGCCAGTTCTTTTGTTGTTGTTGTTGTTGTTGTTTTGGTTATGGTACTGGGGATTGAACTCAGGACCTTGTGCTTACAAGGCAGGCACAGTGCCACTGAACTAAATCCCCAGCCCTCTTTATGCCAGTTCTGAGAGGCACTTCTCAGAGTTCCCAGATTATTGAGCCCTGCACAGTCAATGCCACATCTTGACATTGGCTTTTCCTTTCTCTATGCCTTACTCTTTATAGTCTCTCATTCTTACTTCCTCCAGCCACCTCCCAAAAAACTTCTTGCACCTAAGTTCCTATCTCGAGGTCTATTAAAAGAAGCCTAAACTAAGGGTGACATCTCATATCCAGGTACTGTTTTTGGTTACTGTGAAAGTTTCAAAGGACTCAAGACATTTTTCAAGATGCCAGCCAACATGACTAACTGCTGTAGAGAAGTTAGGAGCAGCATTATTCTGCTTTTCTACAGAAATGGTTCGCAATCTCTGCAATACTATTCTTTGACCTTGCGCTATCGAGGCAGGCGGCAGGACCACTGAGCTAAATCCCCAGCAATGCAATATTATTCTTGATGAAAAAAAAAATTCTGAAATGTCCTGAATTTAATTACTAATACTAGCAGATAGAGGGACAAAAAGATAAGGGAAGTTACTCAGCTTCAGGGGAAACTAACATTGACTTAAATCCCATTACTACCAGCACCATCTTACTGTGTTCATTTGTATACTTTCTGGACAGTTGAACCAACCAATTCAGAAGCAACTTCTCTTTTTCTACCTGCTATCTAGCCTTGCTGCTGATGGGCCCTTGTCATTTTTTCTGGCTAGCATCTATCAAGAGTTAACAAAATGTTTTTATTTCAGAGATCTCCTGATCTCAAGGGCTTAGCTAAAAAGAAGGAAAGATGAAAGGAAGGAAAGGGGGAAACTGAATGAGCCGTTATTTCTGACAGTTCTTACTACAGAATTAAAGTGTGCTTAGGAGCTGAACACAAATAACTTCAACCACCCAACCTGGATTCCAAGCTTTACTTCCAAACCCCATACTGTAACCTTTCAAACTGATGGGTACCCTTCGGATGTGTTAATGTGAAATGGCTATCAGCACCTTGAGACTCAAGAACACACCGAGGCCCCCAGGGAAGCTGATCCCCAGGGAAGGTCAGAGGACAGCAGTATCATAGTCTAGCTTCTCTAATGAGAAACAGATGTTCCCAGCTGTTGCCAGCCATCAGCCTGCTCACTGAAAAATGTTTTCAGTCAGGCTCCTGTGGGACTCATCCAGCTGTATAAACAAGCTTTTATCAACAAGCTTGACTGGGAGAAGCCAATAGCTGTCTTCTTCTCTTTTAGGAGAACTTGAATGTGTTGGTTCCAAGGATGAACTCATTAGAATACCAATTAGATAAGGATGGATTTTCCCTTTTTTTCCTTTGCTTTATAATTTTTGCTTCTATTTTCTTTGTTATCAGGATGCCCATGACATTAGCTGATGGTTAATCTGTTGAAAGTTGAAGGCAGATAGATCTGTTTGAAATAAGAATTCATTGAGGAGTCTTAAAGAGGCAGGGTGAGAGAGCTTCAATGCTCAAGTTCTAGAAGTAACCATGTGTCCTTGGGAATGTCCCCCACCTCTTTGTGTGCCATTTTCCTTTATGTTTAAAATGAAGGATTAGACTCCGCAGATCTAAACAACTTTTCCATTACTAATATTTAAATAATTTGCCATTTTTATAGATTTTATACATAACCTTTCTTTCCTCCAAAAAATATTTTCTGAGCATGTATTATATACATAGCAGTCTGATTAGCACTTAAGTAGTACCATTAGAAGATTCCTTAGCCCAAGAGTAGAAAGCATCTGTTTTCTGATCTCTCCATCCTCTTATTTCCCTGGTAATAACAGTCCTTTGGGTGGTGAGGAATGATCCCTAACCCATTTTCTGTGGCTTTGCTGGATCTTCCACACTCTGGAGCACCCAACCCAAGCATGAGCAGGTGATCCAGACCTAGTCTCTGTTCGTGACTCATGCCAGGCCAATTCACTTTGTTTTTTGAAGTCTTATATTAGGAGTTTTGGAGAGAATATATTCTGTCATATGTGGGTTTACTAAATCAGAAAGAAGTCTTGTCTGTGGACATTGCCTTTCCTATTACACAAAGCCCATCTGAAATTAGGAAAACTAAGGCAAATGTGTTAAAAGAAGCAGAGCAAAAAGATGGAGAGGAATTTCAATTTTCCATTTATCTAGTTATGTATGATAATCCCCCCCATATCTACATATAATTTGAGGAGATAGTTTACTGTTACTTTCAACCAAGAGTCTATCACATGATTAAACTTCTTTAAGTACTATCAGGAAACTGGATCCCACAGTGTTCAGATTTGCCCAGGTGTCTAGTGAGTAGCAGAGCTGGGTCTCAGTCATAGAGTTCTAACTGCCAAATCTTTTTTTTTTTTCTTTTGAGACAGGGTCTCGCTATGTAGTTTCGCTGGCCTTGAACTCACTATGTAGGTCAGGCTGGCCTCAAACTCACAGTGATCCTCCTGCCTCAGCCTCCCAAGTGCTGAG